TATGGGTTGGTATGGGTTGGTATGGGTTGGTTGGTATGGGTTGGTAGGGGTGGTATGGGTTGGTATGGGTTGGTATGGGTTGGTATGGGTTGGTATGGGTTGGTATGGGTTGGTTGGTATGGGTTGGTTGGTATGGGTTGGTTGGTATGGGTTGGTTGGTATGGGTTGGTTGGTATGGGTTGGTTGGTATGGGTTGGTATGGGTTGGTATGGGTTGGTATGGGTTGGTATGGGTTGGTATGGGTTGGTATTGGTTGGTATGGGTTGGTATGGGTTGGTATGGGTTGGTTGGTATGGGTTGGTATGGGTTGGTATGGGTTGGTTGGTATGGGTTGGTATGGGTTGGTATGGGTTGGTATGGGTTGGTATGGGTTGGTATGGGTTGGTATGGGTTGGTATGGGTTGGTATGGGTTGGTATGGGTTGGTATGGGTTGGTATGGGTTGGTTGGTATGGGTTGGTATGGGTTGGTATGGGTTGGTTGGTATGGGTTGGTTGGTATGGGTTGGTATGGGTTGGTATGGGTTGGTATGGGTTGGTTGGTATGGGTTGGTATGGGTTGGTATGGGTTGGTATGGGTTGGTATGGGTTGGTTGGTATGGGTTGGTATGGGTTGGTATGGGTTGGTTGGTATGGGTTGGTATGGGTTGGTATGGGTTGGTATGGGTTGGTTGGTATGGGTTGGTATGGGTTGGTATGGGTTGGTATGGGTTGGTATGGGTTGGTATGGGTTGGTATGGGTTGGTATGGGTTGGTTGGTATGGGTTGGTTGGTATGGGTTGGTTGGTATGGGTTGGTTGGTATGGGTTGGTTGGTATGGGTTGGTATGGGTTGGTATGGGTTGGTATGGGTTGGTATGGGTTGGTATGGGTTGGTATGGGTTGGTATGGGTTGGTATGGGTTGGTATGGGTTGGTATGGGTTGGTATGGGTTGGTATGGGTTGGTATGGTTGGTTGGTATGGGTTGGTATGGGTTGGTATGGGTTGGTATGGGTTGGTATGGGTTGGTATGGGTTGGTATGGGTTGGTATGGGTTGGTATGGGTTGGTTGGTATGGGTTGGTATGGGTTGGTATGGGTTGGTATGGGTTGGTATGGGTTGGTTGGTATGGGTTGGTATGGGTTGGTATGGGTTGGTTGGTATGGGTTGGTTGGTATGGGTTGGTATGGGTTGGTATGGGTGGGTATGGGTTGGTATGGGTGGGTATGGGTTGGTATGGGTTGGTATGGGTTGGTATGGGTTGGTATGGGTTGGTTGGTATGGGTTGGTATGGGTTGGTTGGTATGGGTTGGTATGGGTTGGTATGGGTTGGTATGGGTTGGTTGGTATGGGTTGGTATGGGTTGGTATGGGTTGGTATGGGTTGGTATGGGTTGGTATGGGTTGGTATGGGTTGGTTGGTATGGGTTGGTATGGGTTGGTATGGGTTGGTATGGGTTGGTATGGGTTGGTTGGTATGGGTTGGTATGGGTTGGTATGGGTTGGTATGGGTTGGTTGGTATGGGTTGGTTGGTATGGGTTGGTATGGGTTGGTATGGGTTGGTATGGGTTGGTATGGGTTGGTATGGGTTGGTATGGGTTGGTTGGTATGGGTTGGTATGGGTTGGTATGGGTTGGTATGGGTTGGTATGGGTTGGTATGGGTTGGTATGGGTTGGTTGGTATGGGTTGGTATGGGTTGGTATGGGTTGGTATGGGTTGGTATGGGTTGGTTGGTATGGGTTGGTATGGGTTGGTATGGGTTGGTATGGGTTGGTATGGGTTGGTATGGGTTGGTATGGGTTGGTATGGGTTGGTATGGGTTGGTTGGTATGGGTTGGTATGGGTTGGTATGGGTTGGTTGGTATGGGTTGGTATGGGTTGGTATGGGTTGGTATGGGTTGGTATGGGTTGGTTGGTATGGGTTGGTTGGTATGGGTTGGTTGGTATGGGTTGGTATGGGTTGGTATGGGTTGGTATGGGTTGGTTGGTATGGGTTGGTTGGTATGGGTTGGTATGGGTTGGTATGGGTTGGTATGGGTTGGTTGGTATGGGTTGGTATGGGTTGGTTGGTATGGGTTGGTATGGGTTGGTTGGTATGGGTTGGTATGGGTTGGTATGGGTTGGTATGGGTTGGTTGGTATGGGTTGGTATGGGTTGGTATGGGTTGGTATGGGTTGGTTGGTATGGGTTGGTATGGGTTGGTATGGGTTGGTATGGGTTGGTATGGGTTGGTATGGGTTGGTATGGGTTGGTTGGTATGGGTTGGTTGGTATGGGTTGGTATGGGTTGGTATGGGTTGGTATGGGTTGGTTGGTATGGGTTGGTATGGGTTGGTATGGGTTGGTATGGGTTGGTATGGGTATGGGTTGGTATGGGTTGGTATGGGTTGGTATGGGTTGGTATGGGTTGGTATGGGTTGGTTGGTATGGGTTGGTATGGGTTGGTATGGGTTGGTATGGGTTGGTATGGGTTGGTATGGGTTGGTTGGTATGGGTTGGTATGGGTTGGTATGGGTTGGTATGGGTTGGTATGGGTTGGTATGGGTTGGTATGGGTTGGTATGGGTTGGTATGGGTTGGTTGGTATGGGTTGGTATGGGTTGGGATCTGGCAGGTCCTGGCAGCTCAGTACCAATGCCCTGACACCTCACCACCCTGACACCTCAAGGTCCTGGCAGCTCACTGCCATGGTCCTGACAGCTCAAGATCCTGGCAGGTCCTGGCAGCTCATGGTCCTGGCAGTTCAGTACCAATGCTCTGGCAGATCCTGGCAGCTCAGCGACAGTGTGCTGAAACCTCAAGGTCCTGGCAGCTCAGTACCAATACCCTGGCAGGTCCTGGCAGCTGAGGGCCAATGCCCTGACACCTCACCACCCCAACACATCAAGTCCTGGCAGCTCAAGATCCTTGCAGGTCCTGGCAGCGCAGTGTCCTGGCAACTCAGTAGCAATGCCCTGGCAGGTCCTGTCAGCTCAATACCCCGACACCTCAAGGTCCTGGCAGCTCAACGTCCTGGCACCTCAGTGACAATGTCCTGGCAGGTCCTGGCAGCTCAGTAACAGAGTCCTGGCAGCTCAGTGCCCTGGCAGGTCCTGGCACCTCAGTGACAATGTCCTGGCAGGTCCTGGCAGCTCAGTAACAGAGTCCTGGCAGCTCAGTGCCCTGGCAGGTCCTGGCAGCTCAGTGACAATACCCTGGCAGGTCCTAGCAGCTCAGTACCAATGCCCTGACACCTCACCACCCCAACACATCAACTTCCTGGCAGCTCAGTGACAGGGTCCTGGCAGCTCAATACCAATGCTCTGGCAGGTCCTGGCAGCTCAGTATCCTGACACCTCAAGGTCCTGGCAGCTCAGAGTCCTAGCACCTCAGTACCAATACCCTTGCAGGTCCTGGCAGCTCAATACCCTGACACCTCAAGGCCCTGGCAGCTCAGTTCCAAGGACCTGACAGCTCAATACCCCGACACGTCAAGGTCCTGACAGCTCAAGGTCCTGGCAGGTCAATACCCCAACACCTCAAGGTCCTGGAAGCTCAGTGACAGTGCCCTGGCAGGTCCTGGCAGCTCAATACCCCAACACCTTAAGGTCCTGGCAGCTCAGTGCCAAGATCCTGGCAGCTCAAGGTCCTGACATCTGAACACCCTGACACATCAAGGTCCTGGCAGCTCAGCGCCCTGACGGCTCAAGGTCCTGGCAGCTCAATACCCCAACACCTGAAGGTCTTGGCAGCTCAGTGCGAGGGTCCTGACATCTCAAGGTGCTGACACCTCAAGGTCCTGACAGCTCAGTACCAATACCCTGGCAGATCCTGGCAGCTAAGTGTCTTGGCAGGTCCTGGCAGCTCAATAGCCTGACACCTCAAGGTCGTGATAGCTCAGTGACAGTGTCCTGGCAGCTCAAGGTCCTGGCAGCTCAGTACCAAGGTCCTGACAGCTGAAGGTCCTGGCAGGTCCTGACAGCTCACCACCCCGACACCTCAAGGTCCTGGCAGCTCAGTGACAATGCCCTGGCAGGTCCTGGCAGCTGAGTACCAATACTTTGGCAGGTCCTGGCAGCTCAATACCCCAACTCATCAAGGTCCTGGCAGCTCAGTGCCAGGGTCCTGACAGCTCAACATCCTGGCAGGTCAATACCCTGACACCTCAAGGTCCTGCCAGCTCAGTACTAAGGTCCTGTCACCTCAAGGTCCTGGCAATTCAGTGACAATGCACTGGCAGGTCCTGGCAGCTCAGGGTCCTGACACCTCAATACCCCGACACATCAAGGTCCTGGCAGCTCAGTGCCCTGGCAGCTCAAGGTCCTGGCAGCTCAGTACCAATACCCTGGCAGGTCCTGGCAGCTCAGTGCCAATACCCTGGCAGGTCCTGGCAATTCAGTGCCCTGGCAGGTCCTGGTAGCTTAAGGTCCTGGCATCTCAACACCCTGACACCTCAAGGTCCTGGCAGCTCAATACCCCAACAGCTCAAGGTCCTGGCAGCTCAGTGCCAGGGTCCTGACAGCTCAAGGTCCTGGCAGCTCAGTGACAATACCCTGGCAGGTCCTGGCAGCTATGTGCCCTGACACCTCAAGGTCCTGGCAGCTGAATACCCCAACACCTTAAGGTCCTGGCAGCTCAGTGACAGTGTCCTGACAGCTCAAGGTCCTGGCAGGTCACTGACAGTGCCGTGGCAGGTCCTGGCAGCTCAGTGACAGTGCCCTGGCTGATGAGTACTAATGCTCTGGCAGGTCCTGGCAACTCAGTGTCCTGGCAGCTCAATGCCCTGTCAGGTCCTGGCAGCTGAGTCCCCTGGCAGCTCAAGGTCCTGGCAGCTCAGTACCAATACCCTGGCAGGTCCTGGCAGCTCAATACTCCGACCCCTCAAGATCCTGGCAGCTCAGTGCCCTGACAGCTCAAGGTCTTGGCAGCTCAGCACCCATGCCCTGTCAGGTCCTGGCAGGTGAGTGCCCTGACTCATCAAGGTCCTGCCACCTCAAACCCCACCCCCTCCCCCCCCCCCGCAGGTCCTGCCAGCCGATACTCACTGATGGCCGGGGCGATGCCTCCCACGGATCCGGGCCCGGGGATGTTCCCGGCCACGGCTGCGGCCTGAGCGGCGGCTGCGGCCTGAGCGGTGGCGGCCTGCTGCTGCATCTGCCGGTGGCACTGCCGCAGGTCGAACACCTGCAGGGGGAGGAAAGTGGTTTAATTGGAACCAGTTTAATTTGAACCGGTTAGTTTCAAACCGGTTTAATTTAAAGCGGTTGGTTTGGAACCAGTTAATTGGAAGTGGTTTAATTGGAAGCGGTTTAATTCTAACCGGTTAGTTTGGAGCTGGTTAGTTTGGAACCGGTTTAATTGGAAGTCGTTTAATTGGAAGCAGTTTAATTTAAACCGGTTCGTTTGGAAGTGGTTTAATTGGAAGTGGTTGGTTTGGAACTGGTTTAATTCTAACCGGTTTAATTTCTAACCAGTTTCATTCTAACCAGTTATTTGGAAACAGTTTAATTGGAACAGGTTGGTTTGGAACTGGTTTCATTTAAACCAGTTAGTTTGGAAGAAGTTTGATTGGAACTGGTTTGATTGGAACCGGTTTAATTCTAACCGGTTCATTTGGAACTGGTTTAATTCAAAGCAGTTGGTTTGGAAGTGGTTGGTTTGGAAGCGGTTAGTTTGGAACCGGTTTGTTTGGAACCGGTTTAATTCGAAGCGGTTGGTTTGGAAGTGGATGGTTTGGAACTGGTTTAATTGGAACCGGTTAATTTGGAACCGGTTAGTTTGGAAGCAGTTTAATTGGAACCAGTTAGTTTGGAAGTGGTTTAATTGGAAGCGGTTGGTTTGGAACCGGTTTAATTTAAACTGGTTAATTTGGAACCGGTTTGATTGGAAGTGGTTTAATTGGAACGAGTTAGTTTGGAACCGGTTTAATTTGAACCGGTTAGTTTGGAAGTGGTTTCATTGGAAGCGGTTACTTTGGAACCAATTAGTTTGGAAGTGGTTAGTTTTAGGCTGAGTGGTTTAATTGGAAGCGATTTAATTGGAACCGGTTAGTTTGGAACCAGTCTAATTGGAAGTGGTTTAATTGGAAGCGGTTTAATTGGAAGTCGTTAGTTTCAAACCGGTTTAATTCAAGCTAGTTAGTTTCTAACCGGTTTAACTGGAACCACTTGGTTTGGAACTGGTTTGATTTAAACCGGTTAGTTTAGAACTGGGTTAATTGGAAGTGGTGTAATTGGAAGCGGTTAGTTTGGAAGCGGTTTAATTGGAAGTGGTTTGATTGGAAGCGGTTTAATTGGAACTGGTTATTTTCTAACCGGTTTCACTCTAACCGGTTAATTTGGAAGCGGTTTAATTGGAGCCGGTTATTTTCTAACCAGTTCAATTGGAACCGGTTAGTTTGGAACCGGTTAGTTTGGAAGCAGTTGAATTCTAACTGGTTTAATTCTAGCCAGTTTAATTCAAACTTGTTTAATTCTAACCGGTTTAATTATAACTGGTTTAATTTCTAACCGGTTTAATTCTAGCCAGTTAGTTTCTAAGCGGTTTCATTCTAACCGGTTAGTTTCTAACCGGTTTATTGGAAACGAACCTGTTAGAATGAAACTGGTTAGAATTAAACCGTTTAATTAAACCAGTAAGAATAAAACCAGTTAAAATGGAACTGGTTAGAAACGAACCGGTTAGAAATAAAATGAAATAAATAAATTCCATTTAGTGTTCCAACAAGTGAAGAAATAAAGGAATAGATCCCATTCCTTATCCCAATAAAAAAATGAATTAATTAATCAATTAATCCCGTTTATCATCCCAACAAATAAATAAAAAAATTTATAAATCCCGTTTCTTATCCGAATAAATACAGAAATAAGTAAATAAATTAATTCATCCCATTAGTTATTCCAATAAAGAAATAAATAGATAAATAAATGAATAAAATAAATCAATCCCATGTATCATCCCAACAAATAAAGAAATAAAACAAACAAATCCCATTCAGTATCCCAACAGATCAATCAATTAATTAATTAATTAATCCCATTCTCAATCCCAATAAATAAATAAACGAATAAATAAATAAATCCCATTCATCATCCCAACAAATAAATAAATAAATAAATTAGAAAACCCCTATTTATTATCCCAATAAATAAATAAATTAATCCCACTCATCATCCCAACAAATTAATAAATAAATAAATAAAAAACCCTATTTATTATCCCAATGAATAAATAAATTAATCCCAGTCATCATCCCAACAAATAAATAAATAAATAAATTAAAAAACCCTATTTATTATCCCAATAAATAAATAAATTAATCCCAGTCATTATTCCAACAAATAAGTAGATAAACAAACAAAATAAATAAATCCCATTTATCATTCCAACAAATAAATGAATGAATGAATGAATAAATAACTCCCATGTATCATCCCAACAAATCAATTAATTCATTAATTAATTAATCCCATTCCTTATTCCAATTAAAAAAAAAATAAAGCCCATTCAGTATCCCAACAAACAAACCAACAAATAAATAAATCCCATTCATAATTCCATTACATTATTTAATTAATAATTAATTAAGCGACCCGCCGCTTATTAATTATTTAAGTAATAATTAATAATAATTTATTATTTAATGATTTAATTAATAATTAATTATTTAAAATTTATATAAATAATATAAATATTACATTATATATAATATAAAATATATATATAAATAATATATAAATAAATTAAAAAAATATATAAATAACATATAAATAAATAAAAATTAATTCTTTAATTAATAATTAATTAAGCGATACCTTGATGTAGGCGCTGGGGTAAATCTTGTGCACGGCGTCTCCCGGCGCTCTCCCGGCCTCCCTGTCCAGGTAATAACTCTGCACGAACACGGCGTGGTCGCTCAGGCACCGCACCCAAACGTCCCCTTCGCCTTTGCACTCCAGCTGTACCCCCTTCCCGATGTGCAACCTGCGGGGAAACGCAAAATGGCGGCGTTGGGGGGACACAAAATGGCGGCGGGGTGGGAAAATGCAAAATGGCGTTGGTGAAAAGGTAAAATGGCGGCGTTGAAGGAAAACAAAATGGCGGCGGGGTGGGAAAACACAAAATGGTGGTGTTGGAAAAAAGGTAAAATGGCGGCGTTGAGGGAAATGCAAAATGGCGGCATTGGGGGAAAAACAAAATGGTGGTGTTAGAAAAAAAAGAAAATGGCGGCGTTGAGGGAAAACAAAATGGTGGTGTTGGGGGAGAGGTAAAATGGCGGCGTTGGGGGGAATTGAAATGGCGGAGTTGGGAAAAGACAAAATGGTGGTATAGCGGGGAAGACAAAATGGCGGCGTTGGGGGGACAACAAAATGGCGGAGTTGGGGGAAAGTAAAATGGTGGAGTTGGGGGAAAAACAAAATGGCGGCGTTGGAAAAAAGGTAAAATGGCGGCGTTGAAGGAAAACAAAATGGTGGTGTTGGGGGAAACACAAAATGGCGGCGTTGATGAAAAGGTAAAATGGCGGCAGTGGAAAAAAGGGAAAATGGCGGCGTTGGGGGAAAACCAAAATGGCGGCGTTGTTGGAATAACAAAATGGCGGCGTCAGGGGAGAGGTAAAATGGCGGCATTGGGGGGACTCAAAATGCCGGCGGGGTGGGAAAAAGCAAAATGGCGTCGGGGGGCAAGTAAAATGGCGGCATAGGAGGAATAACGAAATGGCGTCGTTGGGAAAAAAGGCAAAATGGCGGCAGTGTGGGAAAATGCAAAATGGCGGTGTTAAAGGAAAAGCAAAATGGCGGCGTTGGGGGAAAAATGAAATGGCGGTGTTGGAAAAATACAAAATGGCGGAGTTGGAAAAAAAGCAAAATGGCGGTGTTGGGGGAACAGTAAAATGGCGGCGTTGGGGTGAAGGTAAAATGGCGGCATTGTTGGAAAAGAGGTAAAATGGTGGTGTGGGGTGAAAGGTAAAATGGCAAAATAAAAATAGAAATAGAAATAAAAATAAAAATAGAGAAATAAAAATAAAAATAGAAGTAGAGAAATAAAAATTAAAATAAAATAAAAATAATAATAGAGATTAAAAAAAATTAGAATAACAATAAAAATAAAACTAACAATAAAAAATAGCAATAAAAATAAAAATAAAAACAGAAATAAAAAATAAAAATAAAGACAGAAATAAAAATGAAACGAAAAACAGAAATAAAAATACAAAGACAGAAATGAAAAGAAGAAATAGAAAAAAAATTAAAGCAGAAAAAAAAATAGAAATAAAAATAAATAAAAAATTAAAAAATAGAAATAAAAAATGAAAATCGAAATAGAATTAGAAATAATAGAAATACAAATGAAAATAAAAATTGAAATAAAAATAAATAAAAAATAGAAATAGAAATAAAAAAGATAAATAAAAAGAAAAACAGAGACATAAAAAGAAACATAAAAATAATAAAAATTTAAAACAATAGAAATAAAAATAAAAATAAATATAGAAAATAATAAATAAATAAATAAATAAACATAAAAATAAAAACCTAGGATAAAAATAAGAATAAAACTAAAAGTAATAATAGAAAACTAAAAATAAAAAGAAAAATAAATAAAGAAAAATATAAAAATAAAAATAATAAAAATAAAAGTAATGAATAAAAATAAGAATAAAAATAAAAATAACAATAGAATTAAAAAATAAAAAAAAAAAAAAAAAATAAAAATAAAAATAAAAATAAAAATACAAATAAAAATAAAAATACAAATAAAAATAAATAAAAACAGAAATAAAACTAAAAAATAGAAATAAAATGAAAAAGAAAAACAAATAAAAAATAAAAATTAAAATAAAACGAAAAACAGAAATAAAAATAAAAATACAAACCAGAAATAATGAGTAAAAATAGAAATAAAAAATAGAAATAAAATAAAAAACCAGAAATAAAAATAAAAATAAAAAATAAAAACAGAAACAAAAAATAAAAATAGAAATAAAAACTAAAAAAAAAATTAAAAACGAGAGCAGAGCCTTTCACCGATCGGCCGCGGCCATGTTCCCTCCCTGCCCGCCCCTACCGGACTCTCTCGATGGCCTCCGTCCGGTGCACGTTGGAGAGCTGCCCCAGGCAGAACCGGTCGCCGCCGGATGGATCCACGTAACCGTCCACGGTGACCACGGGACAACTGGAGGGGACCTTGAAGGTCTCACCCACCTGAACGTCCATCTCGAAGTAGGCGATGGAGCACCAGTACTCTGGCGCTGAAAAAAAAGGGAAAATTCAAAATTAGTTGGTGAAATTGTCGCCGGTTCGATGTCGAGGTTGGAATTCAAAATGGCAGAAAAAATTCAAAATGGCTGCTGAAATTGTGATTGGTTTGGCGACATGCTGTTGGAATTCAAAATGGCGTTGAAAATCCAAAATGGCTGCCGAAATCGTCACTGGTTTACAGAAACGTCAGAACTCAAAATGGCGTTGACAAAATTCAAAATGGCTGCCGAAACCAATCACCGGTTTGGCGACGCGCTGTCGGAATTCAAAATGGCCGACAAAATACAAAATGGCTGCTGAAATCGTCACCAGTTTAGCAAAGCGCTGTTGGAATTCAAAATGGTGTTGAAAATCCAAAATGGCTGCCAAAATAGTCACCGGTTCAGTGATGCGCCGTCAGAATTCAAAATGGCGTCGAAAATTCAAAATGGTTGCGGAAATCGTCACTGGTTCAGCGTCGATGTCGGAATTTAAAATGGCGGAGAAAATTCAAAATGGCTTCCGAAATCATCACCAGAATTCAAAATGGCCGACAAAATCCAAAATGGCTGCCAAAATCGTCACCAGTTCGGTGTCGACACATTCTGGTTGTTGGAAATCAAAATGGCGGAGAAAATCTAAAATGGCTGCCGAAACCGATCGCCGGTTCAGAGTCGACGTTGGAATTCAAAATGGCAGAGAAAATTCAAAATGGCTGCTAAAATCATCAACGTCGGAATTCAAAATGGCGGAAAAAATCCAAAATGGCTGCCAAAATTGTTACCGGTTCGGCGTTGACATGCGCCGGTTGTCGGAACTCAAAATGGCGTCGAAAAAATCCAAAATGGCTGCCGAAATCAATCGCCGGTTCAGCGTCGACGCGTGCCGTCAGAATTAAAAGTGGCATCGAAAAAATCCAAAATGGCTGCTGCAATCGTCACCAGTTCGGCGATCCGCCATTGGAACTCAAAATGGTGTCGACAAAATCCAAAATGGCTGCCAAAATTGTCACCGGTTTGGCAACGCGCTGTCAGAATTCAAAATGGTGGAGAAAATCCAAAATGGCTGCCGAAATCGTCACTGGTTCGGCAACGCGTCGTCAGAACTTAAAATGGCGGAGAAAATCCAAAATGGCTGCCAAAATCGTCACCGGTTTGGCGAAACGCGTTTGGATTTTAAAATAGCATCAAAAATCCAAAATGGCTGCCGAAATTGTCACTGGTTTGGCGTCGACGTCGGAATTCAAAATGGTGGAGAAAATCCAAAATGGCTTCCGAAATCTTTACCAGAATTCAAAATGGCCGACAAAATCCAAAATGGCTGCCGAAATCGTCACCGGTTCGGTGTCGACACGTTCTGGTTGTTGGAAATCAAAATGGCGGAGAAAATCCAAAATGGCTGCCAAAATCGTCACCGGTTCGGTGTCGATGCGCGCCAGTTGTCGGAATTCAAAATGGTGTCAAAAATCCAAAATGGCTGCCGAAACTGTCGCCGGTTTGGTGATGCCGGTTGTTGGAACTCAAAATGGTGGAGAAAGTTCAAAATGGCTGCCGAAATCATCACCGGTTCGGTGAGGCGCTGTTGGAATTCAAAATCGCATCAAAAATCCAAAATGGCTGCCGAAACCGATTGCCGGTTCAGCGTCGATGTCAGAACACAAAATGGCGTAGAAAATTCAAAATGGCTGCCGAAATCGTCACCGGTTTGGTGTCGATGTCGGGATTCAAAATGGTGGAGAAAATCCAAAATGGCTGATTAAATTGTCACCGGTTCGGCGACACGCTGTCAGAATTCAAAATGGCCGACAAAATCCTAAATGGTTTCCGAAATTGTCACCTGTTCGGTGGCGACGTGCTGTTGGAATTCAAAATGGCGTCGAAAATCCAAAATGGCTGCCAAAATCAATCGCCAGTTTGGCGTTTGGCATCGATGTGCGCCGGTTGTTGGAATTCAAAATGGCGGACAAAATCCAAAATGGCTGCCGAAATCGTCACCGGTTCGGCGACACGCTGTCGGAATTCAAAATGGCGGAGAAAATTCAAAATGGCTGCCGAAATTGTCATTGGTTTGGTGACACACTGTCGAAACTCAAAATGGCCGACAAAATCCAAAATGGCTGCCGAAATTGTCATTGGTTTGGCAACACGCTGTTGGAATTCAAAATGGCGTCAAAAATTCAAAATGGCTGCCAAAATTGTCATTGGTTTGCCAACGTGTCGTCAGAACTTAAAATGGCGTCAAAAATTCAAAATGGCTGCCAAAATCGTCATCAGTTCAGTGTCGATGTCGGAATTCAAAATGGCGGAGAAAATCCAAAATGGCTGCCGAATTTATTGTGTATAAAGCATAAAAACTATAGAACAGTGGCATTTAATAGAGGTGCTTTATAATGTATTAATAGATAAATATATACATATTATATGTAAATATGTAAATATTATATTTATAATTTTTTCTAAATATATACTGGGGAAAAAATATAAATATTTATTGTGTAATGTAGCATTAAAAATATAGAAAGGCGCCATTTAATATAGGTGCTTTATCATGTATTTATAAACAAATATTAGTATATTATATATAAATATGTAAATATTCTATTTATATTTTTTCCCAATATATATTGGAAAAAAATACAAATAATATTAAATATATAAATATTTCATGTGTAATGTACCATAAAAAATATAGAAAGGCACCATTTAATATAGCTAATACATACTGGGGAAAAAATATAAATATAAATGTTAATATTAACATTTGACATGTAGCATAGAAAATATAGAAAAGCGCCATTTAATAAAGGTGCTTTACAATAAATTAATAAATAAATGTTAATATATTGAATATAAATATTTAAATATTATATTTATTATTTTTCCCATTTATATTGGGGAAAAAATATAAATATTTAATGTGTAATGTAGCATAAAAACTATAGAAAAGCGGCATTTAATAGAGGTGATTTATAATGTATTTATAAATAAATATTATTATATTATATATAAATATGTAAATATTATGTTCATATTTTTTCCCCAATATATATTGAGGAAAAAATATAAATAATAATAAATATAGAAATATTTAATGTGTAATGTACCATAAAAAATATAGAAAGGCACAATTTAATATAGGTAATATATATTGGGGAAAAATATAAATATTTAACATGTAGCATATAAAATATAGAAAAGTGCCATTTAATATAGGTGATTTATAAGGTATTAATAAATAAATATTAATATATTATATGTAAATATGTAAATATTATATTCATATTTTTCCCCCGATATATATTGAGGAAAAAATATAAATAATATTAAATATATAAATATTTATTGTGTAATGTAGCATAAAAAATATAGAAAGGCACCATTTAATATAGGTAATCTATATTGGGGGAAAAATATAAATATTTAACATGTCGCATATAAAATATAGAAAAGCACCATTTAATATAGGTGCTTTATAATGTATTAATATATAAGTATTAAAATATTATATGTAAAAATGTAAATATTATATATATAATTTTTTCCCAAAATATATTGGAGAAAAAATATAAATAATATTAAATATATAAATATTTAATGTGTAATGTAGCATAAAAAATATAGAAAGGCGCCATTTAATATAGGTGCTTTATAATATATTAATAAATAAATATTAATATATTATATGTAAATATTATATTTATAATTTTTTCTAAATATATACTGGGGAAAAAATAAAAGTATTTAATGTGTAATGTACCATAAAAAATACAGAAAAGCAATATTTAATATAGGTAATACATATTGGAAAAAATATAAATATAAATCTTAATATAAATATTTGACATGTAGCATAAAAAATATAGAAAGGCACCATTAAATATAGGTGCTTTATAATATATTAATATATAAATATTGATAAGGTATATATGAATATATAAATATTATATTTATAATTTTCCCTCCAATATATATTGGAGAAAAATATAAATAATATTAAATATATAAATATTTAATGTGTAATGTACCATTACAAGTATAGAAACGCTCCATTTAATATATGTGTTATATAATATATTAAGAAATAAATATCAATTTACTATATATAAATATTTAAATATTATATTTATAATTTTCCCCCGATGTATATTGGGGAAAAATATAAATATTTAATGCATTATGTAGCATAAAAAATATAGAAATGCATAATTAATTATAGGTGGTTTATAATGTATTATTAAATAAATATTAATATATTATATGTAAAAATATAAATTTTTTATTATAATTTTCCCTCCAATATATATTGGAGAACAAATATAAATAATATTAAATATATAAATATTTAATGTGTAATGTACCATTAAAAATATAGAAAGGCGCCATTTAATATAGGTAATATATATGGGGGAAAAATATAAATATTCAACATGTAGCATATAAAATATAGAAAAGCACCATTTAATATACATGCTTTATAGTATATTATTAAATAAATGTTAATAAATTATATATAAATATGTAAATATTATATTTATAATTTTCCCCTGATATATATTGGGGAAAAAATATAAATATTTAATGTGTAATGTAGCATAAAAATATAGAAAAGCACCATTTCATATAGGTGCTTTATAATGTACTGATAAATAAATATTAGCATATTATATATAAATATGTAAATATTATATTTATAATTTTCCCCCGATATATATTGGGTAAAATATATAAATATTTAATGTGTAATGTACCATAAAAAATATAGAAAAGCATTATAAATTATAGGTGGTTTATAATGTATTATTAAATAAATATTAGTATGTTATATATAAAAATATAAATATTATATTATAATTTTCACTTCAATATATAGGAGAAAAAATATAAATAATATTAAATATATAAATATTTAATGTGTAATGTACCATAAAAAATACAGAAAGGCGCCATTTAATATAGGTAATATTTATTGGGGAAAAAATATAAATATAAATGTTAATATAAATTTCTGACATGTAGCATAGAAAATATCGAAAAGTGCCATTTAATATAGGTGCTTTATAATATATTAAAAAATCAATGTTAATATATTATATATAAATATATAAATATTATATTTATATTTTTTCCCAGATATATATTGGGGAAAAAATATACGTATTTAACATGTAGCATATAAAATATAGAAAAGCACCATTTAATATAGGTGCTTTACAATATATAAATAAATAAATGTTAATATATTATATATAAATATGTAAATATTATATTTATAATTTTCCCCCAATATATATTGGGGAAAAAATAAAAATATTTAATGTGTAATGTAGCATAAAAATATAGAAAGGCAAAATTTAATATAGGTAATTGGGGAAAAATAGAAATATTTCACATGTATATAGGTGGTAGGTATTGGAGAAAAAATAAAAATATTTAATGTGTAATGTAGCATAAAAAATATAAAAAGGCATAATTTAATATAGGTAATATATATTGGGGAAAAAATAGAAATATTTTACATGTAGAATATAAAATATAGAAAAACACCATTTAATAAATGTGCTTTAAAATATATTAATAAACAAATATTAATATAATAATATGTTAATATTATATTTATATTTTTTTCTCTATGTATAATGGGGAAAAAATATAAATATTTAATGTGTAATGTAGCATAAAAAATATAGAAAGGCGCCATTTAATAAAGGTGCTTTAAAATGTATTTATAAATAAATATTAATAAATTATATATAAATATATAAATATTTAATGTGTAATGTACCATAAAAAATATAAAAAAGGACAATTAATTATAGGTAATTGGGGAAAAAACAGAAATATTTCTCACCAGGATGATTCGATATCGGCGGCTGGAACGCGAGTTCGTTGTGAACGGGCCCTTTAAAAAATACAAAAAATTCAATTTTTTCACCCCAAAATTCCTTTTCCTACAGCAAAAATTTACATTTTCATTTACATAAATTTACATTTGGGGTTTACGTCAAAATTTGGGATTTGCGTCCAAAATTTGGGGTTCACACCCAAAATGTGGGGTTCACGGAGAGAATTTGGGGTTCATGTCTAAATTTTGGGGTTCACATCTAAAATTTGGGGTTCACGTCCAAAATTTGGGGTTCACACCCAAAATTTGGGGTTCAGACCCAAAATTTTGGGGTTCATGTCCAAAATTTGGGTGTCACATCCAAAATTTGGGGTTCACGTCCAAAATTTGGGGTTCACACCCAAAATTTGGGGTTCACGTCCAAAATTTGGGGTTCTTGTCCAAAATTTTGGGGTTCATGTCCAAAATTTGGGGTTCACATATAAAATTTTGGGGTTCACATCCAAAATTTTGGGGTTCACGTCCAAAATTTGGGGTTCACACCCAAAATTTGTCGGTTCACGTCCGAAATTTGGGGGTTCACACCCAAAATTTTAGGGTTTTCACCCAAAATTTGGTGTTCATGGTAAAAATTTGGGGTTCACGTCCAAAATTTTGGGGTTCACGCCCAAAATTTGGGGTTCACGTCCAAAATTTGGGGGTACATGTCCCAAATTTGGGGTTCACACCTAAAATTTGGGGTTGACGTCCAAAATTTGGTGTTCACACCCAAAATTTGGGGTTCATGTCCAAAATTTGGGGTTCACGTCCAAAATTTGGGGTTCACACCTAAAAATTTGGGGTTCACGTCCAAAATTTGGGGTTCAGGTCCAAAATTTGGGGGTAACACCCAAAATTTGGGGTTCACATGCAAAATTTGGGGTTTACATCAATAATTTGGGGTTCACGACCAAAATTTGGGGTTCACCTCCAAAATTTGAGGTTCACGTCCAAAATTTGACGTTTATGTCCAAAATTTTGGGGTTTGCACCCAAAGTTTTGGGTTCACGTCCAAAATTTGGGGTTCACACCAAAAATTTGGGGTTCACATCCAAAATTTTGGGGTTCACGTTCAAAATTTGGGGTTCAGACCCAAAATTTGGGGTTCATGTCCATAATTTTGGGGTTTGCACCGAAAATTTAGGGTTCAAACCCAAAATTTGGGGTTCACGTCCGAAATTTGACGTTTATGTCCAAAATTTTGGGGTTTGCACCCAAAATATTGGGGTTTTCACCCAAAATTTGGGGTTCACATCAATAATTTGGGGTTTGCACCCAAATTTTTTGGATTTTCACCCAAAATTTGGGGTTCACATCAATAATTTGAGTTTCAGACCCAAAATTTGGGGATTTCACCCCAAAATGTGGGGTGACTCACAGTAGTGGCCGGGGTGCATCGGGGGGTGGTGCTGCAGGTGCCCGTTCTGGTGATGCGGAACCCCCGGAGCGAACGCCGCCGTCCGATTGGCCGTCCAGCTGGTGGTGGTGTCTGACGGGAAAATACACAGAATTAGGGAAAAAAAAAAAAAATCAGCCAAAAATCAGCAAATATTCACCCAAAAATTAGAAAGAGACAGCAAAAAAATCAGCCAAAAATCACCAAAAATCACAAAAAAATCAGAAAAAATCCACCCAAAAATCACTAAAAATCCACCCAAAAATCCACCCAAAAGTCAGCAAAAATTCGGCAAAAATTCACCCGAAAATCAGCAAGAAACAGTAAAAAAATTACCCAAAAATCCACTCAAAAATTCACCCAAAAATCAGCAAATATCACAAAAAAATCACCAAAAAATCCACCCAAAAATCCACCCAAAAATCAGCAAAAAACAGCAAAAAAATCACCCAAAAATCCACCCAAAAATCACAAATAATCACCAAAAATCACCAAAAAAATCACAAAAAAATCACAAAAAATCCACCCAAAAATCACCAAAAATCACAAAAAAATCTCCCAAAATCAGCAAAAATCCACCCCAAAATCACCCCAAAATCAGCAAAAATCCACCCAAAAATCACAAATCACAAAAAAGTCACCAAAAATCCACCCAAAAATCACCCAAAATCCACCCAAATATCCACTTAAAAACTGACCCCAAAATCAACAAAAAGTCACCAAAAAATCACCCAAAAATTACCAAAAACCACAAAAAAATCAACAAAAATCCGCCCAAAAATCACAAAAAATCACCAAAAAAATCACCAAAAATCTACCCAAAAATCACCCCAAAATCAGCAAAAATACACTCAAAAATCAGCAAAAATCAGCAAAAATTCACCCAAAAATTCACCCTAAAATCAGCAAGAAACAGCAAAAAAATCCCACAAAAATCCACCCAAAATCCACCCAAAAATCAGCAAATATCCACCCAAAAATCCACCCAAAGATCGCTAAAAATCCACCCAAAAAATCCACCCAAAAATCCACCCAAAAATCAGCAAAAAATTCACCCAAAAATCCACCCAAAAATCCAAAAAAAATCACAAAAATACCCCAAAAAATCACTAAAAATCCACCAAAAAATCCACAGAAATCACAAAAAAAATCACCCAAAATCCACCCAAAAATCCACCAAAAATCACCAAAATCCACCCAAAAATCAGCAAAAATCCACCCAAAAATCAGAAAAATCACCAAAAATCCACCCAAAAATTCCCAAAAATCCACCCAAAAATCCACCCCAAAATCAGCAGAAATTCACCGAAAAATCCACCGAGAAATCAGCAAAAAACATGAAAAAAAATCACCAAAAATGTGCCCAAAAATCGCCAAAAATTTACCCAAAAATCCACCCAAAAATCAGCAAGAAACACCAAAAAATAACCCGAAAATCACCCAAAAATCCACCCAAAAATCATCAAGAATCACCAAAAAAAATCACGAAAAATCCACCCAAAAATCAACAAAAATCCACCCAAAATTTAAAATTTTTATTTATAATTAATTAATTTCTAATCAATCCCAAAATTGGGATTTTTCGGCGGCAATCTCGGCCATTTTAAAACTGATATTTATCAGGGCGGCCATTTTGAAAATGAGGCCATTTTAACACCGATACTAATTAGAGCGGCCATTTTGAAAATTACGCCATTTGAAAAATGACGCTGTTTGAAAAAGACGCCATTTTAAAACTGATATTAATTAGGGCCGCCATGTTGAAAATGACGCCATTTTAACAATGACACCATTTTTTAAATGACGCCATTTTGAAAATGACGCCATTTTAAAAACTGATATTAACTAGGGCCGCCATTTTGAAAAGGACGCTATTTTGAAAACCGACATTATTTAGGGCCGCCATTTTGAAAAGGAAGCCATCTTAAAAACCGACATTTATTAGGGCGGCCATTTTGAAAATGACGCCATTTTAACAATGACGCCATTTGAAAACTGATATTAATTAGGGCCGCCATTTTTAAAAAGATGCCATTTTGAAAACCAATATTAATTAGGGGCGCCATTATGAAAAGGACGCCATTTTGAAAATGACGCCATTTTAAAACCGGTATTAATGATGGACGCCATTTTGAAAATTACGTCATTTTGAAAAATGACACCATTTTAAAACCGATATTAATTAGTGCCGCCATTTTGAAAATGATGCCATTTTAAAACCGGTATTAACTAGGGCCGCCATTTTGAAAATGAGGCAGTTTGAAATTGAGGCCATTTTTAAAATGAGGCCATTTTAAGAATGATGCCATTTTTAAAAGGACGCCATTTTAAAACTGATATTAATTAGGGCGGCCATTTTGAAAATGACGCCATTGTAAAAATGAGGCCATTTAGAAAATGACGCCATTTTAGAAACGACATTTTGAAAAATGACACCATTTTGAAAAATGGTGCCATTTTAAAACCGATATTTATTAGGGCGGCCATTTTGAAAATGGTGCCATTTAGAAAATAACGCCATCTTAAAACTGACGCCATTTTGAAAACCGATATTAATTAGGGCGGCCATTTTGAAAATGACGCCATTTTAAAAGTGATGCTATTTCAAAACCGATATTAATTAGGGCGGTCATTCTGAAAAGGACGCCATTTTGAAAACTACGCCATCTTAAAAATGACGCCATTTTAAAAACCGACATTAATTAGGGCCGCCATTTTGAAAATAAGGCAATTTGAAAATGACGCCATTTTGAAAACCGATATTAATTACAGCCGCCATTTTGAAAATTATGCCTATTTTAAAATGACGCCATTTTCAAACCGATATTAATTAGGGCGGCCATTTTAAATATGATGCCATTTAAATACGATTCTAATTAGGGCCGCCATTTTGAAAATGAGGCCATCTTTTAAATGACGCCATTTTGGAAATGACGCCATTTTGAGAATGACGCAATTTTAAAGACGACGCCATTTTAAAAAATGACGCCATTTTGAAAATGACGCCATTTGAAAACCAGTATTAATTAGGGCCGCCATTTTGAAAATGACACCATTTTGAAAATGAGGCCATTTTTAAAAGGACGCCATTTTGAAAATTACGCCATTTTAAAACCGACTTTAATTAGGGCGGCCAGTTTAAATATGACGCCATTTTAAATACGATTCTAATTAGGGCCGCCATTCTGAACATGAGGGGGTTTAAAAAATGACGCCATTTTGAAATCGGTATTAATTAGGGCGGCCATTTTGAAAATGACACCATTTTAAGAATGACGCCATTTTGAAAAACGACGCCATATTAAAAACTAATTGCCTTAATAAAGAAACGATAACGAACCACCTAAAAATCTACAGTTGCCGCCATCTTGAAACAGAAAACCACATTTTTTCCGCCGTAAAAACCCCAAAATCGGAATTTTTTTGGGATTTCCTTACTGGTGGAGGCCACGGGGATGTTGGGGAAGTTGGTGGTGCCGGTGGTGGCGGCCTCGGCGGGCGGCAGCAGCGCCGGGGCGGCGCCGAAGGGTTCGGCGGCGGCGGCGCCGCGGTTGGCGGGCGGGTGTTGGATGGTCGGCGCCGAAACGGCCTCGGCCGAGGAGAGCGAAGGCTGGGCCTCGTAGTCGTGGGAGTATTCGTCCTTCACCAACATGGCGGAGGGGGCTGGGGAGACACGGGATGGTCATACGTGTGGGGATACATGGGATGGTCATATGTGGGGGAACAGGGATGGGGGAAAATTGGGGGAAAATGGGGAAAAAATTGGAATTTTTGATGGAAAAAATGGAGGGAAATTTGGGGGAAAATTGGGGAAAAAATGGGAATAAATGGGGTAAAAATTGGGGGAAAATTCGAATTTTTGATGGAAATAATGGGGGGAAAATGAGAATAAAATGGGGGAAAGTTGAGGAAAATTAGGGGGAAATTGGGGAAAATTTTGGGAAAATTGGGCAAAAATGTGGAAAAATTGGAGGAAAATCGGCAAAAAAATCGAATTTTTGATGGAAAAAATGGGGGAAAATTGGGGGAAAATCGGGAAACATTTTGGGGGAAATTGGGAGAAAATTGGGGGAAAATTGGGGGAAAATGCGCAAAAAATTCGAATTTTAGATGGAAAAAATGGGGGAAAATGGGAAAAATTTGGATTAAAATGGGGATAAAATGGGGAAAATTTGGGGGAAATTGGGGTAAATTTTGGGGGAAATTGGGGAAAATTTTGGGGGAAATTGGGCAAAAATTGGGCAAAAAATTTGAATTTTTGATGGAAAAAATGGGGGAAATTTGGAGGAAATTTGGGGAAAAATTGGGGGAAAAATCTGGGGAAATTTGGGGAAAAATCGGGGGAAAATTTGGGGGAAATTTGGGAAAAATTGGGCAAAAAATTCGAATTTTTGATGGAAAAAATTTGGGGAAAACGGGGAAAAATTGGGGGAAATTTGGCAGAAAAATTGGGGAAAAATGTGGAAAAATTGGAGGAAAATTTGGGGAAATTTTTGGGATGGTCATACATGGAAAAACATGGGAAGGTCATACATGACACACATGGGCATGGTCATACGTGTGGGGGTACATGGGATGGTCATACGTGACACACAGGGATGGTCATACATGGAAATACATGGGAAGGTCATACGTGACACATAGGGATGGTCATACGTGTGGGAATATATGGGATGGTCATACATGGAAATACATGGGAAAGTCATACGTGACACACACGGGATGGTCATACATGGAAATACATGGGAAGGTCATATGTGGGGGAATATATGGGAAGGTCATACGTGGAAATACACGGGAAGGTCATACGTGACGCGCAGGGCGCGGTCATACATGTGGGAATACATGGGAAGGTCATACATGGAAATACATGGGATGGTCATACGTGTGGGAATACATGGGAAGGTCATATGTGGGGAACAGGGATGGGGGAAAATTGGGGGAAAATGGGGAAAAAATTGGAATTTTTGGGGGAAAAAATGTGGGAAAATTGAGGGAAATTTGGGGAAAAATTGGGGAAAAATTGGGAAAAAATGAGAATAATTGGGGAAAATTGCGGAATAATGGGCAAAGAATTCGAATTTTTGATGGAAAAAATGGGGAAAATTTGGACAAAGTTGGGGAAAAATTAGGGAAAAATTGGAGAAAAATGGGGAAAAAATCGAATTTTTGATGGAAAAAATGTGGGAAAATGGGGAAAAAATTTGGGAAAATTTTGGGAAAATTGCGGAAAATTGTTAAAAAAATTGGAGGAAAATTTGGGGAAAATTGGGGAAAATTTTGGCAAAAAATTCGTATTTTTGAAAGAAAAAATGGGGAAAAATTGGGGAAAATTTGAAAAAAATTTGGAGAAAATTGGGGGAAAATGTGGAAAAATTTGGTGGGAAATTTGGAAAAAAATGGGAATAAATGGGGATAATTGGGGTAAAATTGGGGAAAAATTGGAGAAAAATGGGGGGAAAACCCTGAATTTTAGATGGAAAAAATGGGGAAAATTGGGGGAAAATTTTGTGGAAAATTGGGGAAAAATTGGGCAAAAAAATCAAATTTTTGATGGAAAAAATGGGGGGAAATCGGGGGAAAATTTGGGGGCAAAATCGAGAAAAATTTTGGGAAAATTGGGGAAAATTTTCAGGGCAATTGGGGAAAAATTGGGGAAAATTTTGGGAAAATCGAAAAAAAATGGGAATAAATGGGGAAAACTGGGGAAAAATTGGGGGAAAATTGGAGAAAAATGGGGAAAAATTAGAATTTTTGATGGAAAAAATGAGGGGAAAATGGGGAAATTGGGGGAAAATTGGGGGGAAATTGAGGAAATTTTGGGAAAATTGGGGAAAAAATTGGGCAAATAATTCGAATTTTTGATGGAAAAAATGGGGAAAAATTGGGGAAAAATTTAGGGAAAATTGAGGGAAATTTTTGGGAAAATTGGGGAAAAATGGGGGAAAATTTGGGAGAAAAATGGGGGGAAAATCGAATTTTTGATGAAAAAAATGGGGAAAATTTGGGGAAAATTTGGGGAAAATTGTTGAAAAATGTGGAGAAAATTGGGGAAAAAATTGGGAAAAAATTAGGGAAAATTGGGGAAAAATGGGCAAAAAATTCGATTTTTTGATGGAAAAAGCGGGGAAAATTTGGGGAAAATTTGGGGAAAATTTTGGGGGAAAATTTTGGGAAAATTGGGGGAAAATGCGGAAAAAATTGGGGGAAAAGTGAAAAAATTTGGGGGAAAATTGGGGAAAAATGGGCGAAAATGGGAAAAAAATCCGAATTTTCGAAGGTAAAAATTTGGATTAACATGGGAATAAAATGGGGAAAAATTGGGGAGAAGTTGGGAAAAATTTGTGGGGAAAATTCTGGAAAATTTTGGGAAAATTGGGGAGAAATTGGGGGAAAATTTGGGGAGAATATTGGGGAAAAATGTGGAAAAATTGGGGGAAAATTGGAGAAAATTGGGGAAAAAAATCGAATTTTTGATGGGAAAAACGGAGGAAAATTGAGGAAATATTCAGGGAAAATTGGGGAAAATGTTGGGAAAATTGGGGAAAAATTGGGCAAAAATTTCGAATTTTTGATGGAAAAATGGGGGAAAATCGGGGAAAAATGGGGAAAATTTTGAGGGAAATTGAGGAAAAATTTGGGAAAATTGGGGAAATTTGGGGAAAAAAATCGAATTTTTGATGGAAAAAATGTAGAAAATGAGAATAAAATGGGGGAAAATTGGGGAAAACTTTGGAAAAATTGGGGAAAATTGGGGAAAATTTTGGGAGAAATTGGGGAAAAATTGGGAAAAATTGGAGGAAAATGGGCAAAAGATTCGAATTTTTGATGGGAAAAAATGGGAGAAAATTGGGAAAAATTGGGGAAAATTTGGAGAAAATTGGGGAAAATGTGGAAAAAATTGGAGGAAAATTTGGGGAAAATTTTGGGAAAATTGGGGAAAAACGGGCAAAAAATCCGAATTTTCGAAGAAAAATATGGGGAAAATGCGTAAAAAATTCGAATTTTTGATGGAAAAAATGGGGGAAAATTTGGGAAAATCGGGAAAATTTGGGGGGAAATTGGGGAAAATTTTGGGAGAAAAATGGGTTAAAAATCGAATTTTCGATGGAAAAAAATGGCGAAAATGAGAATAAAAGGAGGGAAAATCGGGGAAAATTTGGGGAAAAATGGGCAAAAAAAATCTAATTTTTGATGTAAAAATTGGAGGAAAATTGGGGAAAATTTTGGGGAAAAATTGGAGAAAAATGGGGAAAAAATCAAGTTTTTGATGGAAAAAAAGGGGGGAAATTGGGGGAAAATTCATGACAATTTGGGGGAAAATCGGGAAAATTTTTGGGAAAATTGCGCAAAATATGGGAAAATTTGGGGAAAATTGGGAAAAAGTGGGAAAAAATCGAATTTTTGATGGAAAAAATGGGGTAAAAATGGGGAAAATGAGGGAAAACTGGGGAAGAGTTGGGGAAAAATTGGGGAAAATTTTGGGGGAAATTGGGGAAAAATTGGGGGAAAATTGGAGAAAAATGGGGAAAAAATTCGAATTTTTGAAGAAAAAACGGGGAAAAAATTGGAGGAAAATTTGAAGAAAATTTTGGGAAAATTGAGGAAAAATGTGGAAAAAATTGGAGGGAAATTTGGGGAAATTTTTGGGAAAATTGGGGGAAAATTGGGGAAAATTTTGGGAAAATTGGGCAAAAAATTCGAATTTTTGATGGAAAAAATGGGGAAAAAATCAGGAAAATTTCGTGGAAAAATTAATTCAAATTTAATCAAAATTTTCCGATCGGAATTTTCCGATGTATTGATCCTCCAGGTGATTGATTACTGGGGGGGGGGGTGACTCACCTGAGCTCTGCAGCGTCAGTCCCGAAAGATCTGTAAAAAAAAAGGGATTTATTGATCAATAATCAATAATCGGTATTGATCCATTGGATTTTTTCCTGCGGGGATTTATTCAGATATTGATCACCTTCAGATATTGATCAATAATCAATAATCAAAATTGATCAATCAGATCCTTTCCTGTGGTGATTTATTCTGATTTCTTGACGCGTTCAGATATTGATCAATATTCAATAATCAATATTGATCGATCAGATCCTTTCCTGCGGTGATTTATTTGGATTTTACGGCACGTTCAGATATTGATCAACCTTTTAAAAACCAATATTGATTGATCAGATCCTTTCCTGTGGAGATTTATTTAAATTTTACGGCGCGTTCAGATATTGATCAATATTTAATAATCAATATTGATCCATCCGATTTTTTTCATCCGGGGATTGATTCGGATTTTACGACACATTCAGATATCGATCACCTTCACATATTGATCAACCTTTAAAAATCAATATTGATTGATCGGATTTTTTCCTCCAGGGATTTATTTAGATATTGATCACCTTCAGATATTGATCAATATTTAATAACCAATATTGATCGATCAGATCCTTTCCTGCGGTGATTTATTCGGATATTGATCACCTTCAGATATTGATCAGCCTTTAATAATCAATATTGATCGATCAGGTCCTTTTCTCTGGGGATTTATTCAGATATTGATCAACCCCTTAAAAATCAAAATTGATTGATCAGATCCTTTCCTAAGGCGATGTATTTAAATTTTATGACGCGTTCAGATATCGATCAATAATCAATAATCAATATTGATCCATCTGATTTTTTTCATCCAGAGATTGATTCAGATTTTATGACACATTCAGATATCGATCACCCTTTAAAAACCAATATTGATCGATCAGTTCCTTTCCTGCGGTGATTTATTTAAATTTTACAGCACGTTCAGATATTGATCAATATTCAATAATCAATATTGATCAATCAGACCCTTTCCTCCAGGGATTATGGGGATTTATTCAGATATTGATCACCCTCACATATTGATCAACCTTTAAAAATCAATATTGATCGATCAGATCCTTTTCTCCGGGGATTGATTCGGATTTTATGACATGTTCAGATATTGATCAACCCTTTAAAAAACAATATTGATCGATCAGATTTTTTCCTCTGGGGATTTATTCAGATATTGATCACCTTCCGATATTGATCACCTTCAGATATTGATCAACCCTTTAAAAATCAATATTGATCCATCAGATTTTTTCCTGTGGTGATTTATTCCGATTTTATGACACGTTCAGATATTGATCAATAATCAATAATCAATATTGATCCATCTGATTTTTTCCTCCGGGCATTTATTCAGATTTTATGACACATTCAGATATCGATCACCTTCAGATATTGATCAATATTCAAATAATCAATATTGATTGATCAGATCCTTTCCTGTGGGGATTTATTCCGATTTTATGACACGTTCAGATATCGATCAATATTCAATAATCAATATTGATCCATCAGATTTTTTCCTCTGGAGATTTATTCTGATTTTATGACACATTCAGATATTGATCACCTTCAGATATTGATCAACCTTTAAAAATCAATATTGATCATCAGGTCCTTTTCTCTGGGCATTTATTCCAATTTTAAGACACATTCAGATATCGATCACCTTCAGATATTGATCAACCCTTTAAAAATCAAAATTGATCCATCAGATCCTTTATTCAGATATTGATCACCTTCACATATTGATCAGCCCTTTAAAAATCCAATATTGATCCATCAGATTTTTTCCTCCGGGGATTTGTTTAAATTTTACGACACATTCAGATATTGATCAATATTTAATAATCAATATTGATCAATCAGATCCTTTCCTCTGGGGATATATTCAGATATTGATCACCTTCAGATATTGATCAACCTTTAAAAACCAATATTGATCGATCAGATCCTTTCCTCCGGGGATGTATTCAGATATTGATCACCTACAGATATTGATCAACCCCTTAAAAATCAATATTGATCGATCAGATCCTTTCCTACAGCGATTTATATGGATTTTACGACGCGTTCAGATATTGATCAATATTAAATAATCAATATTGATCCATCAGATTTTTTTTCCTCCAGGGATTGATTCAGATTTTATGACGCAT